AAAAAAAAAAAAAAAAAAAAAAAAAAAAGTAAAATCTGAGAAAAGCACAGCATGATCACCTACCCATCACCTTGACAGGACGGGCAAGAGCCTCATTCAACTAAACCAGTCAGTATCCACAACAAAAACTCGGCTGTTGAAAACAATGAGGTGACATTTACATAAACAGGTAGGATTTACACTCACCCCAATAACTTTCTTGGCTCCAGCTTTGGCTGCAAACATACAAAGGATGCCAGTTCCACTTCCCACATCCAGCACCACCTTATCCTTGAAGAGATGCTTGTTGTGGAACATGGAGTTTCTGTACGTCAGAGTACGAACTTCATCCTTTAGCATCTCCTGTGGACACAGAATGGGTTTACATTGATCACAGATATGAATGTGTAATTGTACCACTATTCATGAAACATGATGGACCAATAAGACTGTACCTCATGAATACCAAAGTGTGCATAGGAATCAAAGTAGTAGTCTTTGGAGGTCATGTCTTCTGCTGCAGGTTTTGCTGAACTCTCTCCCTGGGACACCTATTTAAAAGAAAAAATCAAATTATACACTATGAAACAAAGTATAAGATTTTAGGATTAAGATTAGGCAGTGTCTTTTGTATGTTAAATACAATTTTAAAAAGTTATCAAGAGAAGACAAAAACCCAGCTAGACAAGGTGGTCAATAAATCTGTTTTGTTGCTAATTGTGAGGAATTCTGTACAATGCTTCAACATTTTGTGGTGTCTCTTAAACGATTTGTATATGCGCAAATTTTAAAGGGGTCATATGATGCTTTTTTAAAGATCATTAAAGATTCCTAAATGCATCTACTTTCGGAAGGCCAAATAAAGTGCTTTTGCTTTCGCCTAGAAACACAGTGTCTCCCTGACATGGCTGCTTCAACACTAACTGCGGTTACTGAAACCACGCCTTCTTTCTTTGCGTGCACATTTGGGCAGCATTATGCAAATATTTCCACAGTGAGGTAGGTATGTGGGGGCGTGTTAGAACGAGCCGTTTTAGGGGGGCGTGGCAGAGTCTTAACTTTGATAAAGAATATCTCTTTGGTTTTGAGACTTTAGTCTTTGCAACTTCAGGGATCTTATCTATGCACAATCAGCTTGTAACACTCCAAAAAGAAAGGAAAACTTGAAATCGCATCATATGACTCCTTTAACAAAGGACAAAACTTATGTCGGTCACGCATTACTTTCATTGTAACGAATAGAATAAAGGATTCGATACTTGCTAGCCACAAAATAATCACTTGTCATCACCAACTGTAACCTGTAGAAAGATTTACTGACGAACAAAGAACAAACCTTTTTGGTAAATGGATTCAAAAGATTCAAACCACTGTGACCAATCAAAATCCGCTACCATTACTACTACTACTATTGAGCAAATTCTAGACCAGCATTGCCTCTTTAAAACCAGTTAAGACAATTTATGGTAGTTCAAACTCATGAACGTATTTTTACCCACACAACTTTAAATTCATTAGAGAAGCAAAGATGCGGTAATACTCGCCTTTTAAATGAGAATAATCGTTTTTATAGAGTCATAAGACCGCTGAAACTTTTGAACTAAATGCACGTGGGCAAAAACGTGGTTGCGAAACAACATTTAATTGGCCACACCGCCAATTACAGCAATCTGGTTACTAACAACGGATTAATCGTGAACGAAGCTGTAATAAATAGTAATCGAGTAGATCACAGCCATCAGGCTGCGGTGTCCCGTCCCATGCGGTCTCGTACCCAACAAGAAGTCATCAAGCAGCCGCCAGCGTGCTCTAAATGACCCTCATGGAAGCTGAACGAGGAACTAGCTAACAGGACACAGATATTACTAAATCCAGTTCCATAATACATCAATTGGTTACACGTAGCATTAAAAAAACCTCTGTATTAACTAATTTTAGCCAATTAGCAATAGCAGACATGTGATGCTAAATGAATGAATTATTCGCGGCAGGCTAAAATGGATGCTCAAGATGCGTGTGCGCACATTTCTACCCACCTGATAACTAACTGTTACATACGCAGCAACCAAACCCGTTAAACGACTACAGAATAGTAGTTTAGACGTAACAAATAAAGTTGGCATATTAATTCTAACTATCGTAAATAGCTGTTTGCCATCGGATGTGTTCTAGGCGAAATGGCCTTGAGTGGCTCCAGCTTACCTCCATTCTGTCTGCTGTCTCCGCCATTTCGGTAAACTGGATTCCACGACGACTGCAGCAGCACAGCTCGTGTAAAACACACTTGTTTTGCTCCCGCCTCTTTGCCTTCACTAAATGATTTGATTGGACGGCAATCATGGGATTCACTGTAGGCTCCGCCCACTTTCTTGCAGCTCTCCGTCGTAGGCTCAACTTCTTGGCATTTTTTCCTCTCTTTTGAAACGTGACTTTCATTGGATCAAACTGTAGCGCGATCACTAATTTATTATTTCATACAAATGTTAAATTACAGGTTATTTGCGAATTATGATTCCATTGTTTTCAGGTAAGCTAGTTATGAGGGTTGGACTGATGTAAGTGACCATACGTTTACAAAAACGTTTTAGCAAACTATATAATAACGTCTAAATATCTATCTATCTATCTATCTGTCTGTCTGTCTGTCTGTCTGTCTGTGTCTATCTATCGATAGAGAGAGAGAATACTGACCAAACTAAAACAGGTCAAAAGAAAAAAACATAAGCACATTAGATATAGACACATTTAAAATTTTAAAAATTAAAAGCCTCTCCTCCTGTCTCCCTAGAATTTTAATGTAGGCCTATTTCTTTTTTTTTTTTCCTGTTGAAGATGAGAAAATATTTTGAAAAAATTTTGTTCTTACAATCATAATAAATGTTGTTTAAACCACAACATTCTTGAGAATATCTTCTATTTTGTGTTTTACAGAATAAAAAAGTCATACAGTTTGGAATAACGTGGTGAGTATATGGTGACAGAATTTTGTTTTTTGGACGAACTATCCTTTTAAATCAAACCGAGCCACGAGAAGCCTATTTGCCAAAGATGCTACTACACATTAATGTTAAATGAAGATGCCTTGAGAATAGTGTGCATTCACTGATAAATTGTAACAAATATAGATATGAGTTTACCGTGTACAGGATGATGATGATGTATCATCTAATATATTATGGGGTAATTTGCTAGTTTAGTTGCACAAAACTGATAGGTGCCGTCTTGCTGTATTACTGAGTAAGATGACCCATAACCTGGGACAAGAAGCCCCCCAAGGTAAAAACTCAGCTGTCATTTTAGACAGACAGACGGACGGATGGATAGATAGATAGATAGATAGATAGATAGATATTGGATGGATGGATGGATGGACAAAGATGATAGAGTTGTACGATTAACTTATATAAATATTTGTTTATCCCCTTCACACAATCAATATCAAACTATTTCAATAATCAGCTTTACACATGAAAAAACAGTCGTCAGATTTAATTAATGTAATTTACAACCTCTCTTTTAGCAATTTATCACCATTCCCACCTACTTGCACTTTGATACTTTCAACAGTGTCGATCTTGTCTTCAATCCAATTAAAATGGTCATAAAATGTAACTGACGTATGAACGGACAAATGGTGTACTGAATGACAGGGACAGAAGCGCAACTAACCAATCAGAGCAGGAGAAGCGGGCTGGAGGCGGGACATGTGGGGAGGAAGCGCTGGAGCGAGCTCAGTGCCCGTTCTGTCACGAGCTCCGTCCGGGTACAGCGACCGAACGAAAAGTCTCGTACATTATTGACGGCTAATTATAGTCCACAGCGATCTTTTCCTCGAGAAACAGGTCTGTCAGATTAGTTCGTCAGCAAGCAGGGTTCCCCGCTGTCCTATTGCGGTCATTTGGGTGATGTATTCTAACATTTGATTGAGCTAGCCAGCTCGCTAGCTGTTTGGCTAGCTTGCCGTGCGTGACTCAAAGTCAGAGAGGAATCAATTGTTATTTTAACACCATCGACATATAGGCGCGTAATCATAAATTAAAAACAACACGGTGGCTTGTTTTTTAATTAGTCATTACCGCAACGTAAGCTCGTGCCTTTCCATCGTTTTCCCATTGACGAGAGTTCACGGGATTGAATGAATTAGCCAACGGAAACACCAGTCGCGCTGACTTCCCAGCTTCTCTCTCACCCACTGCATCCACCTCTTTTCTTCATAAACACCCGCGGCTACATTATTTGTGTGCTTTACAAGCGCTTACAATTGAATTCAGGACTAAATTCGCAGCTCAAGTGTGAGTTAGCCCGCTAGCTCGGTGCATTTGAACTCAAATCGCCGCCTATTTAACCTGCACCTCTGAACATCTGAAAGTCATTTGTTTCGTGTTGAAGCCGGCTTTTTAGAGAAAAAACGAGCAAACATGCCGGCTGTGTCGAAGGGAGATGGAATGCGAGGATTAGCTGTGTTCATATCGGACATCAGAAACTGTAAGTGTCCCTGTCACACTCGAACACCACCTCATTTTCTTATGTGAACAGCTGTACTGAACTCTTCCTATATACGCCCTAAACTGGATCAAATGGCTTCTGCTTTGCTCCGTGATGCTTTTTAACCAGGATTAAAGGTTAAATCGTGCAGGTCAGATGAGTGACTCTTGGTGAAGGAGGTCATAAACGTAATCTCGCCGATCACTCAGGCCCGTTAGCTTTAGCTCCGGTGATGGAGTGATGCTTTATCGTCAGAGAGCCCGCTAGGCCGCCACCGAAAACCGTGTTTCACTGCAGATGGTTTATCCAGCATGTCTTGTCTAGTCTCGGTTGCTTTCGTCACCTTGACTAGCGGTTGATATCGCTGCTCGCCAAGAGGACTCGATTCAGATGTGTTCTTCACGATAATCCAATTATCAAGCTGTCGCCTTGAGCTCAGCATTATAGGAGTGTTACAGATGTGTCTGTAATCTTCTGCTTATTTTGTACCTCTAATTTTACCTTTTGAATCTTAAAAGGCTTTCTTTGTGTTAGGAGTTTGAGTTCCTAGTAATTTTGTGTAGTTTTAAAGAATGGCTGCAAATAAGATTGATTTTCGTGAGTTTTTTCATCCTCATTTTCTGTTAAACATCTAAAAGTATGAAAACATGCGTGATTCCAATTCGAAGATAACTTTTTGGGATAATTTTTGTGATATTAGTGATAAATGAGAGTGATTTTTGCACATATACTGTGTAATTTGTAGTTTGTGACTTGCATTATATTTTAGCACCACATACACAAAAGTTTTATATATATGGCATGCTGCCTTATTCTTTTACTGGCTCATATATACCTGCATATGTCCACACTTTATTTTAGGCCCTCATGCATAAAAATGCGTGGCTTCTGTACTAAAATTTTTAATGTTCAAGTAAGAGTCATGGCATAGTGGGTATTGCATGTGTTTAAGGAGATGTTGTACTCAGTTGGGGTGTAAATCAGATGTTTTATCACGATACGATCTGACATTAATTCCCTCTCAGCAAAGTGATGCTTGCCTGTACCTCAAAACATGCGGTGATATTATTTGATTTGATTCAGGGGCCTGTGATCAATATATCGATATTACGATGTTATGTGCCTATATTACATAACCAGTTACATTTTTATTAATTCAAAAATGCTAACAAAATACAACATGAACATTTAATTGAACTCTCTGAAAATTGGAAATCGGGTATTCCAATTGGGACATCCACAACAAAAAAGTCAAAAATCAATTTAATTTTTTAAGTGATATAAAGAAAAAACAAATGAGTCACACATGAGATCATCAATCGTCTAATGACAGCTCTACAGATAATGAGATAAGTAATGACAACAGTCAAGAAAGTTTTTCAGTCCTCTGTGCTCTCTAAAATGTGCAAAATTAGTATTAGGACATACACAACAAAATTAGGTACATAAACTGTTGAAAAAAATAAAATGTATATCAAAAATAAAGAAATGTCAAAAATGAAGTTGTTAAAACTTATCAAGTATTTGATGACACCTCAGTGGCAATTTGGCATAACTGTCAAATATCTTATATATGTTTTAAAATAAAAATATAAATTGTCATATCAAATCCAGCCTGAATTGTGTCTTGTCCGTCTGTCTTGCTCTACTCTCATTTAGTTCATAAACAAAAAATGAATGACTTGCTACCTGTAGCTACTGAAACACAACTCGAATACACAACTCGCTGCCATAATTGCAACATTAGTGGGTCTGTTGCAATTCTTATAAAACTGGTGGTCACTGCAAATTACATTTTGATGCATTCATCAAAAAGTGGATTTCTAAACGTAGTGTAATTCATTAGTGTCCTATTGGAATCATTAAAACTACAACACCAGTAAAAGCATACGCGCATGGTCAGTTAGTTTGACTTGTGCATAGGAAATGTATTTTTTTGTGTACATGACATGAGAACCCTGGTAATGACTCATAGTACTGGATGATAATAGTATCAAAAAAGACAGAGCAGACACTATATTTCACCAAAATATAATAGTACTTGTATGCAAAGCTGTTCAACATAAGCAAGACAGTTTTTTTTTTCTTTCTTTTTTTTTTACATTTGGTTTTATTTTCCTTCTAGCATTATCTCATGTGTCAGCAGTTACGAGGATGTCATCAGATCCCTTCTTGAAAAGTGCATATGCAAAGCAGAGTGAATATTTATCTGTTGTACATGAGTAACATTGGAGAAAATAAGAAATCTGATGGTTTGCCCAAGGGTGATTGATGGAGCGAGAATTACATTTACATTTAGACATTTAGCAGATGCTTTTATCCAAAGTGACTTACAATCAACAATCAATCAATCAATCAATCAAAATCAACACAAGAGCAATGATATGCAAGTGCTATAGCAAGTCTCAGTTAACTTAATGCAGTACACGTAGCAAGTTTTTTTTTAAATCATATAATAAAAAGAAAACAGATAGAATAGAAAAAGAATAGAGCAAGCTAGTGTTAGAAGCCTTTTTTGCTTTTGGTAATTGTATAATAAATAAAAAGAAAACAAATAGATAGAATACAAAAAGATTAGAGAAGCTAGTGTTAGGTTTTTTTTTTTAAAGAGTTAGTAAATAAATAAAGTGCAAGTCTAAAAGGGGCAAGATGTTTTTTTTAAATATTTTTTATAAAGAATAGAATTAGAATATAGAGTGCTAGAGTTAGAGGGTCAAATAAAGATGGAAGAGATGTGTTTTTAGCCGATTCTTGAAGATGGCTAAGGACTCAGCTGCTTGGATTGAGTTGGGCAGGTCATTCCACCAGGAGGGAACAGTTAATTTAAAAGTCCGTGAAAGTGATTTTGCGCCTCTTTGGGATGGCACAGTAAAGCGACGTTCACTTGCAAAACGCAAGCTTCTAGAGAGCACATAAGTCTGAAATAATGAATTTAGGTAAAGGGGTGCAGAGCCAGTGATGGTTTTGTAGGCAAATGCCTTGAATTTTATGTGAGCAGCTATTGGTAGCCAGTGCAAATTGATAAACAGAGGTGTGATGTGCATTCTTTTCGGCTCGTTAAAAATTAATCTTGCTGCCGCGTTCTGGATTAATTGTAAAGGTTTGATAGAAGTGGCTGGAAGACCTGCCAAGAGAGCATTGCAATAGTCCAGCCTTGACAGAACAAGAGCTCGAAGAAGGAGTTGTGAAGCATGTTCCGAAAGAAAGGGCCTGATCTTCTTGATGTTGAATAAAGCAAATCTGCATTAGAAATGGTTTAACCTACAGGTTGATGGTGTAGTTGCGGTGAATGAGAGAAAACATTAAATAATGAGCTGTACAAAATTTTGGTGGATTTTGGATATGTAGTTGCAAGAACATGATTTTTGTCATGCAAGGGTGAAAATTAGTGATGTATTGTGTGGTTTGGGTTTGCTAGACTTTGTGAAAACTTTAAACTTTCCAAGGACTTTATTCTGTGATTATACTTAGTGATTATTTTGCCTTATGTCTGTTCTGGAGACATGTTACAGCTTTTTGATAAAGCTCAAATTGGTTTTCTTTTGGAAATATGTTTCAAGTTCACACTGAATGCATTAATGACTGTGAAGCATGTGTCAAAATCGTGATTAAAATCGAAATCGCAATAGTTTTTTTTTTCCATGTCGCACAGCCCTAATACTGATTATGAACATCCTTGAAACTCATTTATAGAATTTTTAAAGATGCATTAAGCATTTTGATTTATAACTTTTTAAATACAGTTTTATACAAGAATAATTGAATGTGAAAATAATGGCATGGAAATATGCATATTTTTCATGCCTAAAGAGCTCATAGCACAGTTATACTGTCTAAGCTGTACTGTGGTAAATGCAAATAGTTATGTCCATTTGAGGCAAGTTATCATCAGCAGCCGGGCATTTTGTCAGCTTGTGTTGTCTTCTGATTTGTTCAGATCACCCAGTGATAACCAGTTGTTCTGCAGTGTCAATTGAAATCCTGTTGTCTGAGGCTCCCTGTTTTTTGTTTCTCTCTCCAGGTAAGAGTAAGGAGGCCGAGATCAAACGCATAAATAAAGAGTTGGCCAACATCCGCTCAAAATTTAAAGGAGACAAGGCTTTGGATGGATACAGCAAGAAGAAGTATGTGTGCAAGCTGCTCTTCATCTTCCTTTTGGGCCATGACATTGACTTCGGCCACATGGAGGCTGTCAACCTGCTCAGCTCCAACAAGTACACTGAGAAACAGATTGTGAGTAAAACCATCTCAAATATCCTACTGTGTATGGATGTGTATATTAGGGTGCTTTCACACCTGGCTCGTTGTTTTCGGAACCTGGCGCGTTTCCCCCCCTTAGCTCGGTTAGTTTGGGCATATGTGAACACGGCAATCGTGCCAGGATCCACGCCAAAACAGTCGGTCCGAGATTGCCTGAACGAGGTGGTCTCGGCTCGATTGAAAACGAACTCTGGAGCGGTTCGGTTGTAGTAAGAAAGCAATCCGATCTAACGGACCAACGAACCAGGCTATATCACAATGTATAATGGGTAATTACGTAAGTTCCGTGAAAAGCATTAGCTTTGTTGTTTTGCTAATACTTCAAAATGAACCTGTGAATGTCTGTGGGTGAGCACGTCTTTGCCATTCAAAATAAAAAAGGGAACTTTTTCATTTTATAATGCCGTCTTATTGCTCTTCTTCCTAGTAGGTGCATTTTAAAAATGTTTTCCAGATGAATCCTGGACTCCTGCTCAAAATGATAAATTAATATAAGACAAAAAAAAAAAAACTGTTGTCGTTCCATCCTGACGGATGACAGCCGTGACAGCTAAGTGGAATCTCAGAAAATAAACCATGGAACTTTGACCAATGAGACAACAGTTTACTCGCACGTGACTTGTATTAACAAATTTGGTCCGTTTAGAAACATTGCCGTATGAAAGCGAACCGCACCAAGAATAAAAAACAACATTGTAATAATTTTAATCCCTGTTTCGGAACAAAGCAATCGACCTACAGGTGTGAAAGCACCCTTAAAATCTTGAAGGAGTGTTGTGTTAAGGTGTTTTGAAATGTTTTTTGTTTGTCTTTTTTGTTTTTTGGAATTGTCACTGTTGACTTTGTGAGTGTTTGCAAGCATGTATTTTTCTGGTAAGTTATTGCACACTTTACTGCCGCTCACAGGCAGATTAATTGCACTGTTTGGCCAGTGAAGTGGACCAAATGTATAAGGAAATTATGCAAAATATGAGAACTGTACAGGAAATAGTTGCATATCAGGATTATAAGGTACACAAAGTGCAGTAGTGTCTGAATTCATTCATTTATCCTGGCATTCATGTGGCATTCACAATGCATTTACTGGTGAATAAGCCAAAGTGTGCAGTTTCGAACACCGCTTATACAAGAAAATATAATAGTTTGTAATGCCTCTTACGTGCTTATGTTATCTGACACTCCTCATGAGTTCAGCTAGATATCATGAATGAACCTCAGCAAAGACTAAATGTTTTCAGTTTTCTCTTCTTTCAATGAGAGATACTCTCTTTTGTCTGCATAGAGACATGTAAATCATTACTTGTGCAAATGATATGCAGGATATTGACTACATTACACTGTTGGAACAAACAGATCCAGTGTGCAGTGTTAACAGCTTCTGAGGTGTAACTACCAATATAAACTACAAAACTACAAATATCCTCAAATTTTGGGGAGTTTTAAAAAAATAAATTAATATTTAGTAAGGATGCATTAAATTCATCGAAAGTGACAGTTAAGATATTTATAATGTTATAAAAGTTTTCTGATTTATGTAAATGCTGTTCTTTAGAACTTTCTATTCATCAAAGAATCATGAAAAAAACCTGGTTTCCACAAAAATGTTAAGCAGCACAGCTGTTTTCAACATTGATAATTAGAAATGTTTCTTGAGCAAATCAGCATATTAGAATGATTTCTGAAGGATCATGTGACACTGACGACTGGAGTAATGGCTGCTGAAAATTCAGCTTTGTCTTCACAGAAATAAATTACATTTTTGTAAATTGTAATGATATTTCACAATATTATTGCATTTTTGATCAAATAAATGCAGCTTAGTTGAGAATAAAGAGACTTATTTAAAAAACATGTTTACAAATCTTACCGACCCCAAACTACAGTTACAAAAAGTATCTGAATTTTATTACTCTGCAGTTTTACCCTTGTGAAAATTGTCTTTTATAGATGTGAACATCTGATGAGCATGGCCCTAGCTAGTGAGAGTGAGCAACAGATGTGCTTTTAGCTTGTCAAAGAGGCTTAGTGGCACTCCATGCCATGTAGACCTACCATGAGGTCTAATTATCTCCTGCTGATCAAATACCCACTCTAGCAGCCACACTGCCATCAGCCACGCAGCTCTCCACAGGGTAACACTGACAGAAGCAGGGCAGAATCTGGTCAATCTGAGCATGTTTCGGTTCTAAAAGGACAACAAACTGAGGGCCATTTTAAGTCAGCTTATCTTTTTGCTTGAAAAGGAAAAGCATTAAAATAACATTTACAATGCAAACTAGACGACAACATGTGTTGTCACTAAACTCCACATGGCCTTAGCATTTGTTCTTGGATAATGCTGCACATGGCATTTACATAGTGCTGATGAATTGTGGAAGGGTTGTAGAGCACACCAGATCTTTTGTTTCCTGTTGCAATTTTAAACACTGACATAAACTAGAAATAAGACGAAGTCATGCATCTTGTTAGCCTTTGTTAAAGTCCTTTTCACTGCAAGACATTATAGTATATTGCTGAAGAATGAGGTGATGTCATCATGTTTTGACCTACTCCTCCATACGGGTCAAATACATTCAATACAATATTCAGTTTCATGTGAGCCCAGCCCAAATATTCAGAGTTTCTTCACTCAAATGAATACCAATTTCCTTATATAGAACTCTAAACGGCATCTTATAGTTTTCTGTGATTGTTAAAAGGAGACTTATAAGCACATTAGAAATGTGATTTAGGTCACTGAACGGCCTGCTGTGTGGTAAGATTTGGTCTCTCAAACTAAACAATGAGTCACAGCCTACAGCTAACAGTTTCAACGCAACCATTAGCCGGAAAATTCCGCTGCTCTTCTGATACATGATATGCTATGTCTTGGATGCTGAATTTTGCCGCAGAAGTTTTTTTTTTCTTCTTTTTTTTTCTTCTGTTATTTATTTTTTTATATATAACGAACAAAGTAAATTTATTTTACTGGTTACAGTAAAACCAACAAACAAACAGACTAATAAGCAAAAGGCACTATAATTTACAATATAGTTATGTACCGATACATGGCAGAGAAATAAAAATAAAATAAAAAGTAAAAGTCACCCGGGAACAGGCAATCAGCGTTTTTGTAAAATTCTAAGCAAAGGCTACCAGAGTGAAGATTGCATTCTTGTAAAATTCAGTGAACTGTAATAATGGAGTTTTGATACACTGAATGGAGCGAATTATTGAATTTTGCTAGCTGATTATAGTATAATTCAGATGATTCTGATCGTTTTGCAAGACACATTCCTCCAAACGTCCAGACTTTAAAAGCACGTACAACATCATGATGCAGTGAGAGTGGAAAAGAAGCAATTCAAGAGAGCTTCTACCCTTGCAGCAGTGAGGGAGGCACATTAGCTCAGCGAGGGGGAAAATCTCTCCCTCGTGGTTTAGTGCTTATCCAAAGAGCTTGCAGGGCTGCCGCTCTGAGCCTGTTTGAATATGACAGTTCTTCAGTGACGCTGTCTTCATTTCAGCTTTACTGTACATTACCGTCATTTGGCCTTAGTGTGTGTGCAAAACATAAAGCATAACCATCAGCTTTCTTTTGTTCCTGCCTCTTTTTCTGTGCTCCAGGGATATCTGTTCATCTCTGTGCTGGTGAACAGTAACAGTGAACTGATCAGGCTGATTAACAATGCCATCAAGAACGACCTGTCCAGCCGAAACCCCACCTTCATGTGTCTGGCTCTGCACTGCATCGCCAACGTGGGCAGCAGAGAGATGGCCGAGGCCTTCGCTGGAGAGATTCCTCGCATCCTTGTGGCTGGGTGAGCAACTTTTGGGTTGGAAGGATTGAGTGAGAGGGCAAAAGTTAGGGATTTAGGTTGATGGATTTAGGTTGAAGGAACTTGCATGTGGGGAAAAAGAGGATTAATAAAAAAGGAAGTGTGTATTTGTGGTGTCACATGTAAGAAACAAGAAATTAGGGCTGGACAATAATTCAATATCAATATGTATCGCGATATATTTTCTTTCAATAACGGTGATATGATTTTTAAACACATTTCCAATATTTTGATATACGTACATTACCAGTGTTTCCCATACATTGATTTATTTGTGGCATTTGATTTCGTTGAATAAGCGTGAGCACTGCACATTTCAAAATCAAAACGCAGCGCAGGTGTTTTATATGAATGAATCTCTGAAGGGAACCGACTTCAGAGAAAGTTTCGGTGACATTTTCATTTTTATCTGATAAAGTAGCGTTCATGACCAGAGCTGCTTTGATTACAGCCATTACCGGGGAAACCGCTTGTCTAATAATGTGTAAAAATATAATAATTATGTCTACCAAGCTCTGATAATGTATGGAATATCATATTAACAGACTATCCCAATTTTAATAAAACAATAGGCCTATACCTTTAGAAGCACGGATGTGTCTGTCACTTTAAAGGTATGGTTCACCCAAAAATTCTGTCATAATTTACCCAGGTTGTTCTAAACCTGCATAAAGTTCTTTCTTTTGTTGAACACAAAAGAAGATTCTGAAGAATGTGGGTAACTAAACAGCTGCTTGTCCTCAATAACTTCCATAGTAGAGAAAAAATAATCAGACTATCAGAGGCATTGGGGACCAGAAACTGTTTGGTTACCCACATTCTTCAAAGTATCTTCTTTTATGTTCAACAGAAGAAAGAAATTATTACAGGTTTGGAACAACTTGTGGGTGTGTTAACGATGACAAAATTTTCATTTTTGGGTGAACTATCCCTTTAAGTCAGACAGTCCACCGTGAACAACTGAAATATTTCTCTGCAAACTGTGCGTTCATCATTAGTTACTGGACAGACCCATTGTTAACTTTCCCATTTAGCCCTACATCTGGAGAGCCTTGTGTTCAAAGGGCGGACGTGAGCTCCTAGATGTTTTAAAACCGCGCAGGTTTACCGCATGCTGCAATCGTGTGAAAGGGCTTTAACGGCGCGCGTTCTGGAGACTCCGTCGGAAACACAGACACCAAAATGCAATCACGCGCAAATGAGCTTCTCTCTCATATTCTTTATCCTGGCTGAAGCACATTTGTTTCAATCTATAAGAATATTCAGCCTACACTACCAGTCTAAAGTTTTTTAGCAGTAAGATTTGTAATGTTTTTTTTTTTTTAAATAATTATCTTCTACTCACCAAGGCTGCATCGATTTGATCCAAAGTACAGCAAAAACAGTAACATTTTGAATTATTTTTACTATTTAAAATAACTGATTTCTATTTGAAATGATAGAAATTTTATTTAGCGCTGCAATTTAATTTAATTTATAATACTTTTATGTAGCAAGGATGCTTTAAATTGATCAAAAAGATTATAATGTTACAAAAGACTTCTATTTCAGATAAATGCTGTTCTTCTGAACTTTCTATTCATCAAAGAAACCTGAAAAAATTCTACTCCTTTGTTTTCAACATAATAAATGTTTTTGAGCAGCAAATCAGCATATTAGAATGATTTCTGAAGGATCATGTGACTGGTGTAATGATGCTAAAAATTCAGCTTTGAAATCACAGGAATAAATCACATTTTAAAAT